ATGTGTGTGTGTGTGTGTGTGTCAATGCAGTTTTGAATATTTTTTTTTTCAGTTCTGATAATCTCTTGTAAGTTCACAGCTTCGCTACAACCGTAGTAATCAGATTCTGCTTGTAACTTCCCTAGTAATATTCACGCTCCTCGTCTTCCTGTCATGAAATCATTTCACTCAGCGTTACTCATCTGGCCAACTGGCCGGAGGGAGTGATGCCAAGGCAGGACCGACTGTTTTCCTTATCTGGTGGATGTAATCAGCCAGAATAAACAACAAAATGTTAATACGTACTCCACTTCCCGCTTTAGCTGTCAACATCCAGACTACCGTCGCTACTCTCACATTATCACATTTACACATTATCGTAAATCTAATTTTTATACGAAATATAAAAAAAAAGTCATATTTTCTAAAATGTTCATTACTAAGAATAAATTATTTTCATAGCTTATTTTTGGAAACAAGAAAATCTTTTAATGATATTCAGACTCCCCCATCTAATGGCTTTACTAAATTCCCAGTGCTACGATACAATGAAAAGCTAAAAGAAACATAGGGCATGTGTCCAGGAGTGGACATTACTGGTGTAAACAGATACCATAACACCAAAAACAGATTAATAATTCAAAGCTAAATCCAATGATCGTAATGACAAAGTGTGTTTTTTCTTTCTTGCAACGAGTGTCCAGTAAAGCTATGTGCAGGAGAAACAAGGATGTGTGGGAAGACACAAAGGAAGAGGAAATCACAAAATAGCTTTATTCTGCCATATTCCTGAATGTACTCTTTCTTGTATATGTGAATGACATGACGAAGGGACAGAGTCAGAGGTGCCCCTGTTCGCAGACGATGTGAAGCTAATGAGAATACAAGCGGACGAGGATCAGGTAATCCTGCAAAGGGATCTGGAGAGGCTGCAAGCTTGGTACGACAAATGACTCTTGGAGTTAAACTCCAGCAAGTGTAAAGTTATGAAGCTTGGGAAAGGACAAAGAAGACCGCAGACGGAGTACAGCTTAAGAGGTCAAAGGCTGCAAAACTTACTCAAGGAAAAGGATCTTTATGTGAGAATCATACCGAGCACATCTGAGGAGCACATCAACCAAATAACACCACAGTATATGGGCACCTGGAAAGCCTGAGAATAGTGTTTCGACATCTAAGTAAGGAGTCATTCATGACACTACACACCGTGTTAGTCAGGACTATATTGGAGCACGCAGCACCAGTACGGAACTCACACCTGGTCAAACAAGTCAAGAAATTGGAGAAAACGCAAAAGTTTGCAACAAGATTAGTCCCGGAACTGGTGGGTATGTCTTACGAGGAGTGGTTAAGGGAACTCAACCTGATGACACTAAAGGATAGGAGGGATAGAGGGGACATAATAACGTCGTATAAAATACTGTGAGGAATTGACAAGGTGGACAAGGCTCGAATGTTTCAGAGATGGGACAGAGAAACAAGGGGCCACAACTAGAGGCTGAAAACCCAGATGAGTCATAGGGATACTGGGAAGTATTTCTTTAACCTTAGAGATGTCAAGAAGTGGAATTATCTGGAGAGTGAAGTAGTGGAAGCAAATTCCTCATAGCTTTAAAAATAGATATAATAAGGCTCTAGGAGAGGGGAGAGAGTGACCTAGTATTGACCAGCGAAGAGGCGGGGCCAGGAGCTATAAATCGACCCCTGCAACGACATATAGGTGAATACTTATAGGTGAGTACACACACACACACACACACACACACACACACACACACACACACAGGGGAATGTCCTACGAAGAAAGGTTGAGGGAAATCGGACTGACGACACTGGAGGACAGAAGGGTCAGGGGAGACATGATAACGACATATACAATACTGCGTGAAATAGATAAGGTGGACAGAGAAAGAAGGTTGCAGAGAGGCGACACAGAAACAAGGGGTCACAGTTTGAAGCTGAAGACTCAGCCGAGTCACAGGGATGTTAGGATGTATTTCTTCAGTCATAGAGTCGTCAGGAAGTGGAATAGCCTAGCAAGTGATGTAGCGGAGGCAGGAACCATACATAGCTTTAAGACGAGGTATGACAAAGCTCGGGAAGTAGAGAGAGAGAGAGAGGACCTAGTAGCGATCAGTGAAGAGGCGGGGCCAGTAGTTGAGTCTCGATCCCTTCAACCACAATTAGGTAAGTACATACACACATATACACACACGCACGCACGCACACACACACACACACACATAGCAGCGAAAGCCAAATCTGACCCGAAACTGTTGTACAGCCACATCAGGAGGAAAACAACAGTCAAGGACCAGGTAATCAGGCTAAGGAAGGAAGGAGGAGAGACAACAGGAAATGACCGGGAAGTATGTGAAGAACTCAACAAGAGATTCAAAGAAGTGTTCACAGAGGAGACAGAAGGGACTCCAGAAAGACGGAGAGGTGGGGCACACCACCAAGTGCTGGACACAGTGCACACAACCGAGGAAGAAGTGAAGAGGCTTCTGAGTGAGCTAGATACCTCAAAGGCAATGGGGCCAGATAACATCTCCCCATGGGTATTGAGAGAGGGAGCAAGAGGCGCTATGTGTACCCCTAACAACAATATCAATAACATCTATCGAAACAGAGAGATTGCCTGAGGCATGGAAGACAG